ATTTTCTAGGTCTGGACACCCCTTTTGGCTCTCCTCACTGCACCAATTTTCTCCAGTACCTGCCTTAGTCTTGCACAATTTCTAGGTTCTTTAATCCCTCCTCCCCTCCTCCCCTCCTCCCCTCCTCCCTCCTCCCTCCCCCTTCCCATGCCCCACTCCACTAGCACAGCAAAATGACACCACATGTAAGATAGAGAGAGGAGGAGAGCGAAAAAAGTTTAATGGGAGTTTACCTGATGACCTCGATGATCTTAGCGTGTTGTGACAGGGATGTCGTCTGCAGACCACCACAGATTTGGGAGCCATGAAGGTGCCAAGGACTGCGAAGGTGACGTCGTCTTCAGGATTGCTCTTGTCAAAGCCTCAGCTGTCCATTTCCTCTTCACCCCTTGCGGCAAGGCCTCTCTGTTGTTAATCCCGGCCACCTCCCAAGGCCAATCAGCGTAGTTGTCTGCTCCTGTTGGCATATCAATGGGCAGTATATCTTTGTTCAGGATGTCTGTGAAAGGGCGTGTTCCATTGCCTTCCTGACAGCGAGGGTGAAAGTTGTGCAACCCGCCCAGAAAACTTACTAGGGAAGCTTCTGCTCCATCTCGCATCTCCGTGGAAGGACTTAATTGTTGCTCGGCTTGCACGTTAAACGGCACCATACTACTCTGTTCTAGGTCACCCTTGTGGAAGTTCTGTAAAGCAGCAGTAGAAGCTTCTGTCTGATTGGACCGGAGCGGTGCCTTTTGTCTCGTATGATGAACATGCGAGGGGGTGTCCAGACGGACACCATCAACTATCGGCTTAGTGCCAATGGAGTTCTTCGCTGGTGAGGAGCTGGCTTGGTGAAACTGAGTGATGTCGACCGATGACAAACTTGGAATCGCCTCCCTTTGTGACCAGTTTCCTTCTCGACACCGTCCCCCCTTGCCCCTTGCCGATACCTCCCCTGCCGGTTGCGCCACTGTCTCTGCCAAGCTGCAGTCATTCGAGCGTTGCATTCCATCGGATACGCTCAAACAACACCAACCCTGGTTGGAGTAACTTGTCTCATGGCGGGTGGTGATCTCCGACTTCCACACGTCTCCACGACTGTCAAGACGTGGAGTGCAATCAAATGAAGGGCAAGTAAGACTTGAGGGCAGATTGGACGCCAACCGAACGTTGCTATTGTGGCCATCCATCCTTTTTCCGGATCGGTCGTCCCAAGTCGTGGTGCTCGATGTCACTGCTGACATTGTCATTGCACGTAAATCTCCCTCCCATCTGGATGAGAAAGGGGCTGGTGTGCTTACAAGTTGGTTTAGACTGCTCTGAACCTCACCTCCTCCACTGTTCAGCACGAGCTGCTGCGGAGGTCTCAAAGGCAAGGACGAGAAGGTTGCAGGAGGTAATCGCGCCTCTTGTTCCAAGGTAAGGGGCCCTGCCTGAGACTCCTTGATACGGTCTGAAACCGCTTCAGTTCTGGCCACCAGGTTCGCATCATCTGCGTGAAGGACGGCAGATGAGCCCATATTGCTTCTTGAATCCGGACCAACTCCACGAGCTGCACTAAAACGTGTCGTAAATGGAGCCCCTGCAGCAATCCCGCCGCAACCTGCCAGTGAGTCGCCTCCAGGCAAACATCGTTCACCATGTCGATTGGAGCCTGGAAGCGTCAATGAACTGGATGTCAGCAACGTGCTCGTGAAGAAGCTCAGGTCATCACGCCTTTCCCCTGAAGGTCGAGTCACAAAAAATTAAGCCACCAACAAAAAATTAAGCCACCGAAAAAAAACTACGTTATGCAGAAAAATAAACTGAACAACTTTCGCCTCAGTGTGACATCGAAATTCTTTACTAAATTATTTCTTTTTGGGCCGGCCGGGCAAGTGGTCCCGGGCCACTCTGGTAGCCTAGCTTCTTAGTCGAAACGGGGAAATGGCGCCAGGGGTATGCTTTACTGAATGTATATATAAAGGAAGCTGGACCAGGTTCCCAGCAGGTGCAGCTCCCGTCCAATAGACTGGATCATCCAGCAAAAAAAAAAAAAAAAAAAAAGAGTCTGCGTCCAGCTATATTGCAAAAAGATCGCTGAAAGCATTCATCTATCTTCAAAATTATTTACATTACTTGCATGCGCCGGTCTCAAATGAAGAAGTCCTCTTTTGACTAATAAAATCGAAGTTCTAAAAAAAATCCCTATGGCCTTGAGGGGTACATACTACATTCTGCTGATGGGTCTTTCCTGAGGATCAGTGTGATTGTTCCAGTATAAGGAAAACAACTGATGCTCCTACGGGTCTCTCTTCTCTCACCGATCTTCTACAGTAATGGCATGTGCCCCCTTGGTTTGTGATACCCTTGCACACATGAGTAGAACCCCTTTAGTGAGACCTCTACTTATTCCTTTCTTTCTTTTCTTTTCTTTTTTTTTTTTTCTTTTTTTTTTTTCTTTTTTCTTTTTTGATGAAACACGCCCCTAACGGTGTTAGTGATGCTGATAAGAGCAGATGTTACACATGTAGAGATGCTGGAAATCCCAGATGACTCCGCTGTAGGCCTCTTCAACCAAAACCTGAGAAAAAAAACATTGCTGCTGTCGACTCTTGTCGGAATTCTATATATAGCACAGGTCTTCATTCAGGGGCATCAAATCTGTTTCTAATAGCACACAACTATCCCTGCATTCGGATCTAAGTTCTATAGCACATGGATTAATTCAGGCTCATGCAGTCTATTCCCATAGCTCGTCTCTATCCCTTGTCAACCTACCGCAGCAAATTGGGATCCATTCAGTCAGGGTCATGCGGTGTGTGCTCCATAGCGCATGCCTATATTCGTTTGAGTTGTATAGCACATGGCTATTCTGGTCCGAGTTGTATAGCACATGGCTATTCTCGTCCGAGTTCTATAGCACATGGCTATTCTGGTCCGAGTTGTATAGCACATAGATTCCTTCAGGGCCGTGCAGTCTGTTCCTATAGCATATTGCTATCTATCCCTGGAGTTTGCTGCCTGGATTCTCGGAGGACTTCTGTAGCACATGGCTCCATTCAGGGTCAGGCAGTCTGTGCTCCATAGCACATGGCTATTTTCGTTTCAGTTCCGTAACAAATGGCTATTCTCTTCCAAGTTCTATAGCACACAGATTCCTTCAGGGCCATGCAGTCTGTTCCTATGTCCCTGGAGTTTGTTGCCTGGATTCTTTGTCAGACTTCTGTAGCACATGGCTCCATTCAGGGTCATGCGATCTATGCTGTATAGCACACATACATGGCTATCCCTGGAATTCCCGTCTGAGCTCAATAGCAGCATGGATTAAGGATTGTGCGGTGAAATGCAATCTGGGAAAACACATTCCCCTCGTCAGCCCATGCATCACTCTACTTCTGCTCTGTCTTGTCAGCACTTCAGCTAGAGTCGGTTCTTCAAAGAGAGAGAGAGAGAGAGAGAGAGAGAGAGAGAGAGAGAGAGAGAGAGAGAGAGAGAGAGAGAGAGAGAGAGAACCCCACAACCCAGCCCACATGGCTGAATGGCACACATGGAACAGCTGATGAACAGATCAAGAGTTCACATCAAGATAGAGTCACATGGATACAATAGGTTAGGGGTTAACCTTTTCAAAAAAGGGAAAAAAAGTTTTAAAACAGAAACAGTACCCAGGCACCAGAGCACCCAACAGAGATTGGGATGGAACAAGGGACCATGAAAGACGGAACAGAAGCTGGTTGAGTTTTGAAGAATAAGTAGACTGGGTGGGTATAAGGGGCACACGCAAATGATGCTATTGTGACGGAGCGGAGGACCTTTGCTGCAGCCAAAACTACAGGAGATTTGATTCATTGAACGATGATGCTGTTGTGCCAGAGAGGAAGATGCTTTGACATGTGAGCCCGGGATAGCCTAGATCAAGCAAAGCAATGCCAATGTTGAGCTGAAATAAGGTATATGGTGGGAGGATGATAGTGGATAGATTACCAGGGTGAGGCTGAGAAACCGGATGAACGTAGGAAGCAGAAGTCGGTCCCAGGACCTCATTGGTGGCCAGGTCTGGAGTCTTGAGAAAACTTGGTGGTTGCTGGAGTGACTGCGCCTGCGGCTGTGGCGACAGTCGTGGCTGCTGTGGAGCGACAAACAGTGGCGATGGTCGCATTGTTGTTCGTACAAGGGGATCGGCGGTGGAGCTGTCTATGGGCCCCACAAAAGTAATGCAGTCATTCCCCTCCAGCTTGGGAAAACTCTTTGGGGCAAGCTTTGTTTCCCGCTTCAGCCTCTTGAGTGCTGGCTCATCTCCATTTGCCACTTGCCTTGGGCCGCTGCCGTTTACAACCATTCCCACACTGTCCTCCCCCAGCTTTGCAGGCTGCAAATAGGATGACATGCTTCCACTTCCATGGGTGCCACTCCTACTTCTGTGGATGGAGGGAGGCAACAAAGCGGCAATCTCCGGACCTTGTCTGTGCCTTAACTCTGGCTCCGGTTCTGGCGCAGCATGCCTTGCAGGATGCTTGTTGCATGTCCTCTTTTCTGTTTCAGGTTTTGTGGCCAATAAAGAGTTTGCATTCCAGTCCATGTTTCCCGAGCTCTCTTTCTGCTTCCTCTTCATGCTTCGCACTGGATCATTAGAGTTACGCTGCTGATCCTCTTGATGCACAGATCTATGAACGCTCTGGACTCCATTTGTAATGTCAGCACCTCTTCTAGTATGGTCGAGGCCGTCGAGGCCCGTGTGGTGACTGTAGCTGTGTGAACCTTTGGTCTGAGCAAGGATTGGATGATTTGTTGTCGAGAGTTTTGGGACTCCATTCGTGTGAGCAAGGAGATTTGGTGCTTCGCTGACGCTGACGCTCACCCCTGAGCTTGAATCACCGTCGCTCCTGAAGGTTACTGAAGATGATTGCGCCAACTTGGCATTCGGTTTCTCTGAGCTGGGGACACCATCACGATTAACACTTTCACTCCTGCAGCTATCAGAGCGAGGCTCCGTTGCTGCGGAGTAGCATGCCGATGCAGTCGTGTGCAGCGGTGCAGTGCATGCCACGTATTGACTCTCTGGGGAGGTGACTGGGACTGGTGACACCTGATCAGGGGCCATTAGTGAAGTGAGGTATGGGTCCTCGTCACCTATTCGCACTTGCTGCTCGTCCCATGGCCAATCTCTCAAGGGATCTGAAAGTGGGTTCATTGACAACAAATCCAGGGAGTCTTTGGCATACGATAATTCCAAGTCAGGAAGATCCATCAGAAGATCACCCTCCTTCACCAAGCCCTTCTCCTGGCCGCCGTCTCCCCTTTCTTCTGACGCTGTTATCCTGACCCACTCGCAGGCCACATCCCCGTTTACTGATTCTTTCGCATTGTCTTGATCGGAACGGTCTTCCGAAATCCATCTGCTATCTTCCCGCGGTGTACATGAAGGCCCGCTTGGGCAGGCAGCGGGTTCCTTATGCAGGGGGAGATTGTAGACGATACTCTCCGGTAGCTCGTCCCACCACGTGCTGCTGACAGGCAAATCGCTTCCGTGAGGAGCGTCTCCGCTAACAGGTACCACAGAATCTACAGATGCCCGTAGTGTCTGGCTTCCCTGATTTGCAGATACTTGGCAAGCTGTTTCTGCAGACGTGTCCTCTCCAGCTCGGGACTTGGACTCTTCTGCCACTATCGTTAACATCGATCTGGTGCGGTCGACTAAGCTCTGCAGTCTGTTTTCGCTCATGCTTGACAGACAAGGTGATCGGCAGGCTGATGTGGTCTTCGACGTCACAGACTGGCTCCTCGAATCCTTGTCGGTGCTAGAACCAGTCTCCGATTTCCCCTCCAATAAAAGCGCCTCCGGCACTGCCTTCGTATGCTGAGTCTGTGACTCGGTCTCTGTGCTCCCAGCATGGGCTGCAACAGCAGCAGCGATAGCTGCAGCAAAAACAGCACTTGCGTGAAGGCTAGCAGCTGGAGCAAAGAGCCGATCGTTAGCTTCCGCCAGCTGTCGGACATCCTTCTTTCCATTGAAGACGGATCGCAAAAGCAGCACCAGGGGCAGATCTTCAGGGACCTTTAAGAGAACGATGCCACGCGCACAATCCCACAGAGTTATTGCCATTACACCGTTAGCTGAAGTCTATTTGTCGAAAAAGAAAAACCATTTTTCAAATGAACACGGCAAAATACAAGATCTTGAATTCGATCCAATAGAATGGGCCTGGAAGAGGCTGTCAAAATGTACTGCTCTGTCTTCTTGTTTTCTTGTTGCTCTCAGCCAACGCCGGGTAATGGCCCTGGAGGTGGATTCAAACTTCGAAGAGGAGGATGTAATGGGACACTGCGCCTGGTTCCCAGCAGGTCCTCCTCCCCACCAATGGACTGTAGCGACCAGCGATAAGTCTGCTAGAAGGGGATGCTCATATCACCCCCGCTAACGAACTAAGGCTGGACTCAGAAATGGGATGCTCCTATCACCCCCTCTAACAGATTGAGGCTGGACTTCAAAAAAAAAAAAAAAAAAAAAAAAAGAATGGGCCTGGCAGCCCCAAAGAAGGTACCAAAAAAAAAAAACAAAAAAAAAAAAAAAAAAAAAAAGAATGGGCCTGGCAGCCCCAAAGAAGGTACCAAGAAAGAGAACCCCATTTCCATAAACAAGTTCTCTGTCAAGCTAGGCCACAAGATCCTATGCCAGCAATTACAAGAAGATGGAAGAGACTCATTGGTTAAGACTCCAGAGGCAGATCGAATAGCGACAACACTATGGAGAAAGTTCAAGACCATAAGACCAATTTCATTAAAAAAAGAAAAAAGATCAGGATTCTACAACGACTGACAATATACACAGCACTTCCAGTCAACCGGCGGCTCCACATCTTTTTTTTTTTTCTTTTTTTTTTTTTTTTGGAAAGAGTGCTCGATTCTATTGGTGGGGAGCTGCACCTGCTGGAAACCGGGTCCAGCATCCCAATTGAATACAATGTAGCATATCAAGCATCATACCACAGGAATACAGCTGCCAGCATTGACTACCGCGGTGAGCCGGAGGGTGAACTGAGCACCAAATAGGAGGGACCGTCGGCCACACATCAGGAGGAAAAATGGCCCGAATAGCTCCAACGGCTGTAAAGCATGCTCTGACAGTGAACAGGACTTGCACAGGGGCCATGCTAATCTTCCCTGTATTGTTCCAATCTAACGGACTGAAACAGAAGGCAACACTCTGGGTATCTGGTAAAGAGAAAGATGCAGCATTACGGTCAATGATACCAAGGCAAATGGCTGTTAAGTTTCGCCAATTTGAGTTTCAAAAAAAAAAAAAGGACTCTATATGAATGCAAGAGAAAAGGTTTGGGTGGGGTCCAAAGACATCATCGAAACGGAAATTCTCTGAAACTGGAACAAGGCCAAACAGCACAGAGTCGCAGATACTGCATGCAAGATTCGGTTATGTTTGGCTAGCAAAGAGGCAAGGTGGAAGCCCTCTAGGGATCCATACTACTTTTTTGTTTTTTCTTTAAACAGCCCCCGGGCCCGCTAGCCGTGCTCCAGGGTTTCAGACATAACACAGAAGATAACAACAGATGCTCGTCGGTACAGTCGTCAGCAGGAACCGCTAGCTGTGGACGGAAGACGGGGCCTGCGAGAGGGATGACCCATGGCGTCTATATATTCGTCAAGAGGCAACTCTCAACCCTCCTACTCAGGGGTGATGGGAACCACAATGATCAGAAGAGAGATAGGGAGTACCACAATTCGAACTCGTCACGTTTCCACTGCGGGACCAATAGTACGGGTGCAAAACGACAAAACTCAGTGCCGGGCAAGGGTACCCCAACGGGAAAAGACAAAACGTGAAAAAAAAAAGATTCAGAAGTTGCCAGGTGGTATTATGTGGCCTCTGTGATACCGTGCAGGCCGGGTGGTATAATGGGGACTGCATGGTACCGTGCAGGGTTTTATCATATTATGCGGACTGGATGGTACTAGCAGACAGGCCCACAGAAAAAGAAAAGGGTTCTATGGTTTGGGTGGGCCAGTACCACGTGGGCGGGTCACATTATGTGGACCGGGTGGTACGAACACACACATGGCCACCTCAAAAAAAAGAAAAGCACGCACACACAGCCACGGAAAAATAAGAAACACACGCAGCCAAGGTTAGGTACAACGTGGCCTTATGCCCTGCTGGGTGGTACTATGCGGGATGAGCGGTATTTTGTGGCCTGAGTGATACTATGTGGGGTGGGCCAGACTATGGACTGGATGGTACTAAAACACATGCTCCCCCCCCCTCCTCCCCCACCTCCCCAAACACACACACACACACACGACCCTGCAAAAAGACATACACACTTAGGCTCAACTTGGCCCTTGACATTGGCAGGGCTAGGCGGTAGCGCTGCGCCCGCCCGGGCTGAAACGACGGGTGCACTAACACAGCGGGTCAATATCGTGTGTAGGGATGGCGCTTCTTAGAGACTTCCGTGGACGTGGAGACAGGAGAGAGGTGTCGTTTGAGGGGCATGTGGTTTGAGTAGCCATGTGGGGGGGGTGCCACATGGCATAGGGTTATGACGACACTCTCTCCGTCTTCTGTGTTTAATCTCTGTCTCTCGCTTCTCCGGTTCTTTGCTGTCATGGGTCGTTGGATTTGGACTGAATTCTCTGTGAAGCTGTGTTGAAGGGCTTGACATGGTCATTCACAACGCAACCGCGTTCGGGGAGTAACAGGGAGGCGGGGGCGTCCCACTAATCTCTTCTGGTTGGTGCACTTTTTTTCCGTGGCTGTGTGTGCGTGCTTTTCTTTTTTTTGAGGTGGCCATGTGTGTGTTCGTACCACCCAGTCCACATAATGTGACCCGCCCACGTGGTACCGGCCCACCCAAACCATAGAACCCTTTTCTTTTTCTGTGGGCCTGTCTGCTAGTACCATCCAGTCCGCATAATATGATAAAACCCTGCACGGTACCATGCAGTCCCCATTATACCACCCGGCCTGCACGGTATCACAGAGGCCACATAATACCACCTGGGGAGGAGTGGCTCCTATAGGAAGAGGCAGGGGCTGAGTTTGGTCTGGACAGCGGTTGGGCAGTTGGACAAGGGGACTGCAGGAGCAGAGCGGTGCGTGACGGTCTGCAGCGATCGGTGACTTCAGGTGAAGTTCAAGGGGGCGTCACGTAGCGACGGGCGCTCTGAGTGCAGCATTTTTTCAGAATTTAACCCTAAGTACTACTCCGATAGATTGGTGTTTTGTAAATCGAAACCTAGTCTATTTCCTGATATTTTCTTGGATGGTGAATTGAATGTGGCCGATCTCAACATCCGACGGATGATCTGTAAATTGGGAGAGAGAGCTGGGGATGCCTTGCAGTGGGCATTCCAAGGGAAAACCAAGGGTTGCTGCCGGGGCGACGCTGGCCGGAGGCGGGGTAAGTCGTGTTGCCCTGTAACCTAGCAGGGTGGGGGCATAAGGCCTGGGAGAGTTCGGCAGGGAATAAGACAGTGTTAGGGAATTTTAGAGGGTTTTGTTAGGGATTCCAGGGCTTCTGAGCATTCGAAGGACTTCTGTGGCTCTCCTTTTTGACTTAGTAATTGCTGCTTGAGTAGCCTAGCAATTGGTCAGCAGTTATCCATGTTTTTCCTAAATTTTCCTGAACTCCTTTAATAGTTCTCAGATTGTTCTTAGCCGAAGCCAGGTCGCCCTGGTATTTCAACCAAAAAAAAACAAAAAAAACAAAGAGCTCATCACCTGTTTACTGACAGTTACATGTCTACTCCTCTGCCACATGGGTCAGATGTGTACTTGGATCTGAACATTCCTGGTCCCTCTATTTGAATGCAGCTCTGGAAAAACAGCGACTTTGGAAGCAAACACAAAATTGTGCTAACAGAAAATTGTCCTCGCCTGACTCCGGCCTAATTCGAGCTCCTCACTGATGAAACAAAATGACAAAAAAGTAAAAGCCAAAAAGGAGAAACAAAACGGCCCAAAAGGACGAAATCAAAAGCCAAAGGGAATTATGTGATAAGTAGAAACACATAGAGTACACTTGAGACAAATGACGCAAGAGTAACATGTACACTTGAGACAAATGACACAAGAGGAACTCGGATGAAATCGAGACGCGCAAACTACGCCGCAAAGTTGACTCGAAATATCAAAATGATTGAACATTTAAGCGCATTCTCACCTTCGCCCCATCAAACCCAGTGAAGGCCCCCCCACAAAGAAAAGGAAGCCTTTTACATTGATGTCTCTGTCAAATTCCAGCACTTCGAGCTGGTGACCTCAGGTATGTATCTGCTGTTCGTACACATGTCCAAGGCCACCCTTTTTCAGCGGGAAAGCAGATTTTGATATCCCCTGGGATGGGACTGCCTTTCCAAACCGACCATGTGCCACCATTTTCGTGGGCTCAGTGGGCAACGTCTTTGAGTACGAGGCCCGTTTTCCTTTCGAGTATTCACATACATCATCGGCCGCAGGCCCACCGCAGGCAGTGTGAGTACAAGGCCTATTTTCCTTCTTCGCTATATCGGTGTCCTTGACGCTTGTGTACTTTTTGATGATGCTGAACGATGTTTGTGTACTTACATTAAATTGAGGAATGCATGCTGCCAACCCTCACCACAGGCAGTGTGGACTGTGTGCTGCATTGTGCACGCACGGTGTACCACAAGCATGAAACGAAAGGAAGGAAACAACAGGGATGGAAATGGAAAGCAAGGAGTCGAGGAAAACGAAAAACGTTATGGGACCAAAGTAAAGGAGGACAAGGAAAGGGAAGCAAAAGGAAGCAACCCAAGAAGAGAAAGAAAAGAAAGAAGGGAAAGCAGAGGAAAGCAAAGGGCAAAAAGAAGAAAGGGAGAAAAAGCAGAAGAATCTTCGGCCGAACAGAAGGATGCATGAGTGTGTAAATGATGTATCTGAGGATTTTGACTTGGGGAAGTAATCAAGGCTGTCCATTCCCAAGGGAAGTAATCAATGCTGTCCACTCGGGCCTCTCAACCATAATGGGGAGGAGCGTGTGTGTGTCTTCATTGTATCCATTTTTGACTTGCCGGGGGAATAGGAACCGGACTGTTGCTCCCCAGAATGGCAGGAGCCAGAGCCGAGAGGTTCTGAATTAAAAAAAAAAAAAAAAAAAAAAAAAGGAACCGGACTTGCGCTCCCAGAATGGATATGGAGCTAGGCCGATTAGGCCTGTTTTTGTTTGAAGGGGAAAAAAAAAATAGATATGGACCAAGTGTGCCTGGCATGGTCCATTGGGATCATTTCTTGATTTGTGTCTGTCATCCTTGCATNGGGGGGGGGGAATCAAAAGTAAGATATAGAGGGAGGCTGGGTGCTGCCAGCAAGCTTCCCGACCAGAGGTAAGGTTGCTTCCAGGGGAACCCTGGAAGAAGGGCCATTGTTAGGGTGGGACACTCCGTAGCAGCCTCCCCTGGTCAGGTGCCTGGTGCTGCAAGGGTAAGGCTGACCCTGGGTCTTTTCTCTCTCCCCCTTCTGAGCTGAGGAACATGCTTGGCGGTGATAAGCAACCAGCCTGGCCAACTGGCTGTGCGTCGGAGAAAAATAAGAGCCGTACCCAGAACCCCAACAGCCCAAGACTCCAAATTGCAATAAATTGCAGTTTCCCAGTCAGGCTGTGGACACTGTTTTCGGCTGTGTAGTCTGTTTACTTGCTGTTTCTTTGTTTTGAACTTTGCGGGACTTGATCCCGTGACCTGTAACTTGTGTGTTCTGTTTGTAAGTGCTGCCTCCTATGGGACTTCATCTCTGAGTCTGTCACTAGTGGTGTCCGTTTGGTAGCCTTAGGCCATTCGGCCTTTTCCTTTTGCCTTGTCATAGGTCTAGGTCCCCTTTTCCCCCTGTTTCCATCTAGATGCAGATGAGTCTTGGGTTGTTGCCTTTGGAGTCCATCGTAGGTCTAGGCAGAGGGTAGAAGTAGCGGGCAGGAACTTTGGTTGGGGTCTTTTCACATTTTCGTTGGCTGGGGAAACTCTGCCCGTCCGTTGTTGGAGCGCTACTGCTCTATTTTGGGCGACGTCATCTTCTTCCTCGAAGCCCAGCCATAGCTGGGGGTTGTGAAACGAAGTTGAAGATCGCACTGCTGCTATTTTGCAGCTCTGCATGAGAGCTTCCACAGGACTGTGTTGTGGGGTTTCGGCGCTGCCATTTTCCACTTGCCAGCCATATCTGCTGTTCCTCCTCACGAGGAACTTCATCTTCTTCGAAGTGCTGGATCGGTTGTCTCCTTCTTCATCAGGACTTCCAGCGCTGCACTTCCGTGCGGGCGCTGGTGCTGCTATCATTGGGGTTGCTGGTTCAGCTTGGCACGTTGTGAGAGCTGTGGGGTTACTGCTGCTACGGCAGCCACAGCCAGGGGTATGAGTGGCGACGAGGAAGAAGACTACTCCTGCATACTTCGTTGAAGACTTGTTTTTGGTTTGTTCGGGGTTGTTGTAAACGCGGTTGTGATTCTTGGAACAAGTACTTTGGATTGATTGGAGGAGGATGAGGGATTGCAGAATTGAAATTCGTTTTTCAATTCTCTGTGTATTTTGAGCTTCCGCTGTGCATATCTTCTCGCCGGTTTTGTGTGGATTTGCCTCCTTCGAGTCTACTCTGCAATTGCATGCGTGTATGGGAACGTGTGAATTCGTTGTGGATTGAAGTTCAATCGGGTACATAACAAAATGGTGGGTGACATGGCTAAAGCATGGGGTGTGGCAGATAAAGCATCTATGGTCAGAAGGAAAAGGTCAGTGGAAAACAGCGAGAGAACTGAGAAGCCTTCTTAACGGCAGAGGCAGTCACGAACTTCTGGAAAACCTCAACCTGCTAATAGAGACACCAATGGAAGTATGGAGACTGGGTAACCTAGCGACACGAAAAATAACCAACAACGGCATTTCAAGCACAGAGAAGGGAGGGCCCACAAAGGAACCAACATGTACCAAATAGAGGAGCCAGGTGCCACAACAAGTAAGCTCGATAAGGATTCAAGAATACAGATCTCGGTGAGGCTGGAATTGGTCAGGGGAGGGTGAGGGTCATAGAGAGGAAAGATTTCACTATCTACAGACCAACAACAGCAGTGGAGGACCTAGAGATTGATCCGGCGGAATGGGCTTGGAACTGAGAGGAGGGAGGCTGAACATGGCGCTAAGAACAAACATACTGCACTACTCAACTAAGTTGGGGTATAAGCTCAGAATGAGATCGTACCCGCTGGAGTACCATTATTAAAGCATTGGGAAGATGGAATGGGTGTGCTTCCGGCACGGCTTACTTCCTTGCCATGGTCAGGATTGAGTTCTATTGGACTGGGGCGGGTCAGGAGCTTACAGTGGCTAATCATCCACATGCCACTACCTGTCAACGAATGGCTGAATAAATGGAGGAGTCAAGAAAATAGAGGACTCCAGAATAAACTATCCTTACGCTCTGTGGACAATCTGGAAGAGGCGATGTCAGCAAACGATAGACAGGAGGCAAATGCATATCAACGAGGCACAGAAAATCTTCAACAAGCTAGTGGAAATGGACATCCGGGCCCAATGGATGAGGGCAAGAAAAAAGGATGGCGGAAAAACCAGCGGGACCAAAGGAAATGAAAAACAAATTCGAGCAAGGGGTACTAGGCAAGGGGAAAGCAGCAGCGTTAGAGGGGGCAGGCCTCAGATTCTACTTGAAGACGGCAACAACAGCCCACAACAAGGGGCAACAGAGCAATGAGGGGTTCAAGAGATGGAATGCACACAGGGAAGGAACGAAAGACTGCATTGAAGAAAGGATTTAGCTAGGGTTTAGGGTTCACGGGGAAGAAAAGCAACCAAGGAGATAGCAATGTCGCTATGGGAGGCCATTTAAGTAGTAGTCCAAGAGAACAGAAGCATTTCAGAAACCAGCAGGGATAGGGGAAGCTAAGTATAAGCTACTTGGGATTGCATTTTCTTTGAGCTTCAAGAGGTTATTGGAAGAATTGATAATAGAGTTTAGGGTAAGGGTTTTACATTCTAAAGAATGGAGATTTGAAGAGGAGGGTGGCTACGATTCCGTTGCCGTTACGAAGCGAAACTGGGTGATGATCCCAGCAGTTTTTGAGCAAGAAGTCTTTAGTAGAAGATAGGCTAGAAGGATAGATTCAGCTCGTTCTTCGCTGTTTTTTCAATTTGTTTGTCCAGTTCTTGCTTGGTTTGGTTTGGACTCTGGAGTCTTTGGACAGTAGCATTTAAATTGGGCTGCTGGACCGGGCTTCCAGCACAAGCCGAAGCTGGGTAATGGCCCCAGTGTTTTTCCGAGCTGTTTGTGGAGGGATTCCCGGCCTCCTTTTCTGCTGCTGTAATGAAAAGCTGCATTTTCATTTTGTAATTAAACCACCACTACCATTCGCAGCTGTAGTCCCAGTTGAGAAAACGACCTCATCCAAAAAAATTGCCGCCGCACGGCCGCTGATAATTTTTGATCGGCGGCTACCAACCTTGAAAACAAGTGGAACCCACCCGAGGGCCCACATATGAGAAAGGTAATCGCGGTAAAAAAAAAAAAAAAAAAAAGAGCCATACCAGCATAACAATACCACAGTATGCAGTGCATGAGGTTAAAAAGGGCCATGGCGGCGTAAGAAAAATAAATGGGCTGATAAGTCGGGGGTGTAGGCTGTGAAATGGGCCCAGCATCCCACAATTTTGAGTTCACTGTCCAGTCAATACAAACAGGAGGTCGTCCTTTTCGGGGCCACATAAGTAAAACAGAAATTGGCCGAGCAACACCTCATCTGACGCACAAAACACAATGACATTTTTCTTCAGCAAAGAAACAAGTTAAGGGTTCTTGGGGAGGGGAACCTTTGACTTACCATCTGCGTCGTCCCGATCTCAAGCACTCCATTTTGCACTGCCACGCACACAATCGTCTGCACACACATTTGTGGGGGGCCACAGAGTCAACGTTGACTCCCTTCATTGCCTTCAGTGTATGGCAGGGGTGTAATGGGGGTGCAAACAGACGGATTTTAAGAATGCCGGTAAGATAGCGCCCAAACAAAGTGGAGCAGATGAACACCATTTGGACAAACACATCCTCATTACTTGTGAGCGGCTAAGCACATAATCCAATTGGCTTAGACCACCACCATCCATCTTCGCCATACCGTTTTGATCGCACCATGCATACAACTATCCCCCCCTCATATACTCATTCTAGGTTTGCACCTTTGCACAAATGCCCTCATGCTCATCTTGGGTTCTTCACTTTGAAGAGGGCATATGGTCATCCAGGTCAGGCTATGGGTTAGGAAGAGGGTCACAGGATGGGTGAAAAGCATATGGACAAGAAACAACTATGTGATGCAAGACAGGTTCTATGACTCAGCATGTCTTTTGCTTCTTGTTTCTCCTTCTCCGTCTTCTTCTTCTTCTTCTTCTTTCTTCGTCTTCCACAGGTGCACGTCAAAGGTGAGGAAGCATGTGGACAAGAAACAATGTCATGCAACATAGGTTCTATCATAACTTCCATGACTCTGGCAATCCTGGTGAGGAAGCATGTGGACAAGAAACAATGTCATGCAACATAGGTTCTATCATAACTTCCATGACTCTGGCAATCCTCCTCCTCCTCCTTCTCCTCCTCCTCCTCCTCCTCCTTCTTCTTCTTCTTCTTTTCTTCTTCTTCTTCTTCTTCTTCTTCTTCTTCTTCTTCTTCGCCGTCTTCGTCTTCCACAGTTGCATGTCAAAGATGAAATGCACAAGCAGAGAGCAGCAAATGACAGCAACAGCACATCCACAGTGTTTGCAAGCAGAAAGCAGCAAATGCCAGCTTGTTCAACAACATAGAATGAAGCTTCAAAAGATATAAATCCATTCCAGCATGTATATTATATTCATCAAATGCACAGAACCCAATAGGGCCAATACAATCATGAATCCCAACTCAATGAAAGAGTAGGGCAAACTCCAAGCTTCTCAGTGCAGGCGCAGTGAAGTACGGGTGTTTTTTTGTACTTGTCAAATTGAGCCTGAGTTCAAACTCATTTCCAAGCCTGTGCTTGGCTTCTAAGGTCGTCTGAGCCTTAATCGTCTTTTGCTGAGCTGACAATTTTGGAAATGGGTGACTGTCCACGGATCACATCATGGCAGCTTAAGTTTTTTCCTGGCAAATTAGGGAGCCCGAATCGAAACTGCTTTAATTCCCAAGATCCACAGAGTTTCGTTTGGCAAGGTAGATCCACAGAGTCTGATTGTCTAAGGTCGATCCGCAGAGTTTCAATGTGTAGGTATCTTCAGCTCCAGGCTAATCTACAGTCTCACCAATCACTACCACATACCAGTCTCAAAGTGCCAATGCATATCCAGCATCCGATGTACACTTCACTATTCTTTGGCTATTGTTTTTTTTTTTTTTTTTCCAGCTGAAAATCCCAAATTATTATTCCCCAAACACAACTTCCAAGTTCATAATACAGACGGCTATGGCCCTCAGTTCATCACTCTCCCTCAGGTTGGTATGCTCTCCCTCTCCTCTCTCTCTACCTCACCGTCTCTCCTCACTTGTATCTCTCGCTCTCCTTACTTCGACCACTCACTCTCACTCTCTGAATGCACTCGCCTCTCTCTCTTGCTACCCTATCAGCTATGGTGGCCATCTCCCTCCTAGCTAGCCCTAGCTATGGCGCTGCTGCGCCAGCTTCTTCCTCAATCTCCCCAACCAGTCCATCCATATGGCCGCACAAGCGTTCAGCAGAGCTTCGGCAACACTCGACTTGACAAGTGAGTCCTTCGTAGCTTTGTAGCTCTATAGAGAGCAGCTGAGTTGAGATCTTTGTCGGCTCCAGACCGGTAACAGTCTCCCAAGGCCTGTCGGCTGCACTTTTCCCAGTTCAAGAACCCACGAGACTTTCCCAGGTTGCTGCTGCTAGATTTGGACTGGGACTTTGGACTTTTCTTGTCCGGTACCGGGCCCACCTGACTTCTAACTACTCCATACTTTACTGACGGCCTACCAGGGCCCTACCGACCTACAGGACCTAAGTTCGGCACTTCAACCGCTGGGCCTGCCGAATCAGTTACTTTTCGTGGAACTGGACCATTGGGACTTCTGGGACCCGGACTCGGGACACTGGCTGCAACATGAAATCCTTAAAAAAAGGATATTATCATATTATAAATTATAATATATTTGAATTTCTTTTGAATCTTGAGTAAAGTTACCAAAAATGGCCCACTTGGAGCTGTCATTGGTCCTCTAGGCAACTTCAAAATCTTACCGATCGAAAGTCTTTTCATTCGAAAGTTTTTCCGCCTTCAGCTCTTTATTCTCCTCACCATTTCTCCCTTTCTTCTTCTTTGATTACTTCTCTTTTCACTCTTTCACTCTGCTTTCCATTCCGGTACCATTCAGGTACCCTTCTCTCCTGCGCTGGGGAGAAGAGGGGAAACGAGGGGGGGAGGTGGAGGAGGGAAGGGCGTGGTGGGGGTGATAGATGGGGTGAGGGCGAGGGTATTGGGACTAGTGGATTTCTAGGAGAAGGGGGGGAGGGGGGAGAGTACCTCATGTTTTTATCAGTCCAGTATTCTGATCTGTAATTAGTATTAGGAATTCTTCATTCTAGTCTGTTTTTAAAAACCTACTAATATAGAAATCATAATCGTAATGACCCGCCAAAACACAGACTGAGAACACTGCTGATTTCTGAGTTCTGCCGCTGGAATGTGCCTTGCTGAGATTCCCGCATTCTGCTGCGTTTTCAAAGTCTGTGTGTGCGTGCTTGATGGTCTGCGTGCCTGTCTGAGTACTGGTCGGCCTGATTATGTGTGTGACCCTCAAGGGTACTTGCTTGTTTGGGAGGCCCGTAGGGCCGGTGCTTACCTGTGGCCGTGACATTGAGGATTGCAGCAGGGGAAAATACTCAAGTGGCGGGGAAAGACGCCCCCGACACTTAGAGCAGCAGACAAACACTCAAGTAGCAGGTAGGCCGGTACCACACCAAGTAGAAGTAGATGTGCCGGGTACTCAAGGCCGAGCAGAAGAAGACAAAAGTTGGCATTTTTAGAGGCCCTGTACTTGTAGGCTAGGTCTAGGCGGGTACCAGTCCAACCAGTCTGAGTCTAGGGCCTGTACGAGGAAGTAGGCAACTAGATCTCCAGGAGGAGCAAAGTGCTCCTCGTTCTTCGGTGTGCAAGTTTGGCGACACACTGCTTGGAGCATTGGTTGGAGAAGCGCTGGGCATTACAGCGCTGCTAGGAGGAAGGAGACGTTGGCTATGGTGGAGCTCTACCGGTAGGAAGAGGAGGAAGTAGAGGGCTAGGAGGAAGAGTGGCGAGGTACCTACCTGGCTATGGTGGGCACCATCTTCATCACCTTGTTAGGCGCTGCATCTGGAAGGCCCCCGTCGAGGTTGTGCCGCACCAAGAAGGCTTCAAGGCAGGGTCAGGCATGGTGGCCTGAACAGCAGCGAGCATAGCTGCTTTGCGTTGTCCATTGCACAGCAGGGCGAGGCCCTAGTAGTCAGCCATAGCCTTGGCCTACATGAAGAGGAAGAATAAGGGTGGCCATGGCTATGGTGGACCTCATGTTGTGCCTGCAGTAGAAGAGGGATTCGGACATTGATTCTGGTTCAGCCATTCAACATTATTATTGTTACTTATTGTTTGAATAAGAGGGGAGGAGAAAAGGAGGAGGAGAGTGGTTGGCGAGAGAAGGAAATTATCATTGGTCTTTAGTGGTGTACATCTTCTTCTTCTTCTTTCTTTCATCTTCTTCTTCTTCTTTCCCTCTCTCTCCTCTCAAGTTCATTCATTTCTTTTTGCAATTGGACGGCGTCGTACTTTCTCATGAATGTGTAGTATTGTGTACTTCGAAATTGGCCAGGATCGTAACATAATACTGTGATAATAGTAATCTTAACATTCTCAGATAATTATTCTCTGATAATCATTCTATGAATTTCTATCTTAATACTGGTCATCATATTTTCTTCAAACACCAACCTAATCATCAACCTAATTATCAACCTAATGAGTAACTTATTTCTTCCCTAATCTTCATGATCCTCAGCTCCTTATTCTTTTCTAATTAAACTTTTCCTTGCGGTAAATACTAGATGCCTACGTACTAATAATCATCGATCTTAATTCTACTCTTCAAAACTATTTTCATTGTCATTTTTGGTCTTCCAGTCATCATCCATCTTAATTCATCTTTTCAGAATTCAGACGTCTTTTCTCCTCAAGGCTCAGTTCATAAAATTTCTCGTTATTAACTCTTATTCTCCTCTTCGTGCATCAAT